AAAGAACATCCATAGTTTTTTGTTCCATTTTTTTTTGTTTGAGCAATCCCTTCTAAACCACATCATGACAATCCCTATCTTCTCCATTTCCACCAAAAACCAATTAAGAGCCAAAAAATGCAACAATTGTTCGAGATTTACAAAATATGTTAAGGCTAATGAGTTTTTTATGATCATCATTGATCATCGCTGGAATGATAATGTGGGACTCCCAAACAATCTTTTTTTTCTGTTCGCAAAACAGAAATTCGACAATCTTAACTTTTCCTAATTTAAATCTATGTGTTCTTCATGTAACCCACAAAAAAAGAAAACGCTTAGACTGCAGGGAAAACTCTAAGGTCTTTCTCAAAGTTCTCTATAATTTTAACGAGATTTTCGTTCTACCTCCGCTCCGGTGTTGGGACAAAACAAACAAATGTTTTTTTTTTTTTTTTTTCTGATGTCTGTTGCTGTTGTTGGGAGATGTTATTGCCGCTGCTGTTGCTGTAACATTTGATGGCTGCTTTCTAGGATTCCCTATCTCTCGCCTATGCAAGCAACTGCGTTTCATTGTTATGTTGTAGCGCAAGTATTGCCCTGGAATGATGTGTTGTTGTTGCCATTGTTGCTGTTGTGTCTTTGCTGCTGCTTCTTATTGGTGTTGAATGTGCTCTTGTTATTTTCGACATCGACAACAACATCACGAAATGTTTGTTATTCGTCAGTTTACCTGAAATGATTGTATTTAAAGTGATTTAATCATTGTGGCGAACAACATCGACAATAACAACCCCGAAACAGCTACAGCTAAAACAGCAACAGCAACCCGAACCCCAACCCGAACAACCATCACACCAACTAAATAAACAGTCAGTTAGCCATCAAGTCAATTTTGTTTGTTTATTTCAAATGATGTGAAATTAGAATTAGAAGTGAAGAGTTGGAGAACGGTGGGTGGATGGATGGGGAGCAGCGTGTGGGTGTTTGTTGTTGTTGCTTGTGTTGATGTTGTTTGACATTGACATTTTTTCTAACGGAAAAATAGAACTTCAATTTACATGCCACATAAATTGGTTTGGTGTTTTGTTCTTGTTGTTGTTGGCTTTGTCTGTTTGATCGCCGTGTAATGGGAGGTGTGGAATGTTGGTTACATTATCTTTATCTATCTTTGTCTGTTTGATCGCCGTGTAATGGGAGGTGTGGAATGTTGGTTACATTATCTCGAAAATAACATCGCAAAAACGTTGGAGGAATAGGTGGCGACAAGAAAAACAAACAAAGAAAATTATTTGAAAGTAAGGAAACTGTGTAAATTTGATGGATGTTATTTACCGGTCAGAATATCGTGTTCAAATAGAAGAAGTTTTAAATATATACAAGGCGGCGCAAATGTAATCCTCCTATCAGAAAATGCTATAAATTTTACGATTGGCCCCTAATATCAGTTCTGTTTTGGCACATGCAAAATACACGCTAATAAACAATGTTACGCTACACTGCTCCAGAACGTGGAATATTTCTGACTATTTATTTGACCATTAAAGGGTAGGTGACTTTGTCACGACGTGAATTTCGTCCATCGCCTACTGATGAACAACTGGGACGTTTAGCCGCTCGCCTCGAAGGGACTGGCACAACAAAAAATGCTGCCAGGCGGACCCCGGAGTGTTCTGCAGACCCCGGAGTGTTCTGCAGAGAATAATGGTACTGTAGCTGATGATGTCATGGAAGCGCCCTCGACTTCGACGAGACGACGTGCCACGCAAATGGGTATCAGTCGACGGTCTTTACAGCAAATTCTGGAACAAGATTTTAATTTGTTTTCGTACAAAGTCCGGAAATGCATAAGTTGTTAGTTGCTGACTGCCAATCGCGTCTAAAATACGCTCAAGCCATCCTTAATCAACACCAAGAAGAAGATCATTTTTCATCAAAAATAACAATCCATTTCCATCTTAGAGGGTACGTAAATAAGTAAAATTTACGCTTCTGGGGCATTGAAAATCCGCGTGTAGCCCACGAAGAGCCATTACACCCGCTCAAAATCACTGTGTGCAGTTTCGCTGGAGGAATTATCGGACCTCTTTTCTTCGAAGATGTCGTGGGTCAAATGGTTACTGTGAAGGGTGAGCGCTACAAGGCAATGATCAACGACTTCTTTTTGCCGCAACTTGATGTGTTGGGATTGGAAAACATGTGTTCTAACAGAACGGTGCAACGGCACAAACTGTACTTGCCAAAATCAATATGCTGAAGGATGCACTTCCCGGGCGCCTGATCTCCCGATTTGTACTGGCTAGAAAGGTCACCTGATTTGACCGCTCCAGAGTTTTTTTGTGGGACATTTCTCCTTTCTCTTTCTGATCAATAAAAATTATTGATTTGTTTATCTATATTATTATTATTATTATATTATTATTATTATTATTATTATTATTATTATTATTATTATTATTATTATTATTAGTATTATATTATTATTATTATTATTATTATTATATTATTATTATTATGATTATTATATTATTATTATATTATTATTATTATTATATTATTATTATTATTATTATTATTATTATTATTATTATTATTATTATTATTATTATTATTATTATTATTATTTATTATTATTATTATTATTATATTATTATTATTATATTATTATTATTATTATTATTATTATTATTATTATTATTAGTATTTATTATTATTATTATTATTATATTATTATTATTATTATTATTATTATTATTATTATTATATTATTATTATTATTATTATTATTATTATTATTATTATTAGTATATTATTATTATTATTATTAGTTTATTATTATTATTATTATTATTATTATTATTATTATTTTATTATTATTATTTATTATTATTATTATTAGATTACTTATTATTATTATATTATTATTATATTATTATTATTATTATTATTATTATTATTATTATTATATTATTATTATATTATTATTATTATTATTATTATTATTATTATTATTATTATATTATTATTATTATTATTTTATTATTATTATTATTATTATTATTTATTATTATTATTATTATTATTATTATTATTATTATTATTATTATATTATTATTATTATTATTATTATATTAGTATTATTATTATTACTATTATTATTATTATTATTATTATTATATATTATTATTATTATTATTATATTATTATTATTATTATATTATTATTATTATTATTATTATTATATTATTATTATTATTATTATTATTATTATTATTATTAGTATTATTTATTATTTATTATTATTCTTTATTTATTTATTTTTTTTGAAAATTGAAACCTTTTGTGGGAGAGTTAAGTTTCATAATAATATTGCGATGTACCCAGTTTTCACCAAATCGGATACTCCCATCGAGAGTGCGCACCAGCCAGCAGTCAGACATCGCTAGATCGACTCCAAATGTCCTGAACTAGTACTAAATTCGGAATAGTTTGGTGAAGGGTTAACGGATGAAGCTGGAATTTTAAAGTTTTGTAATGGTGTCCCTGTTGGTGGTACGTTCGTGAAAAAAAGATGGTTTTGGAAATGTGTACTACTAGAGCACGAAAAGTGCTCAACAGTACTATATTTGGGACAATTTTGTATTGGCTGAATAGAAATCCGAAATTTGGTTTTCGGGTCACTGTTCATGTCAAGCCTGGACATATGGAGGTGGTTTTTGAAATGTAGTACTGAAGTTGGTAGTGGTTGAAGGGATAAAACTTAAATCCTGAAATTAGATATGGATGGTACTGCTGGTGTCTGTGGTTAAGATATGGAGGTGATTTTGGAAATGTGTGCTACATTTTTACGAAAAGTACTAAGTGATACTAAATTGTGTATTAGGTGAAAGGAAAAATTTGGAATCCCGAAATTCGATATTAAAGTATCTGTTCGCAGCTGGGACTGAGATATGGAGGTGATTTGGAAATGTGTTGTATAACTTTTGGAAACATACCACAAACTAAGTATTGGATAGAGATGAAAGAGCCAGTGTCTACGAAAATAAAAAAAGACTTAATTGTACTAAATTTGGCATTGGGTGAAGAGGTAGAGCTGAAACCGTGAAATTTGATATTGAGTTCTGAGTTGGTATCTGAAATTCAGATATGGAGATGGCCTTAAAAATGTGTTCTAAAATTGTACGAAAAGTACTATATGGTACTAAATTTGGCAGGGATAGAGCTAAAATCCTGAAATTTGATATTGAGGTCTCTGATGTTATCTGGGAATAAGATAATGAGGTGGTTTTTAGAAAGTAGTTTTTCGAAAAGTACACTGTACTAAATTTGATATGGGTTGAAGGGCTAGATCAGAAACCGAGAAATTTTATATTTCGATAATTGGTTGTGTCTGAGATATGGAACAGTTTTGGAAATGTGTACTGAAATCGTACGAAAAGTACTAAATAGTACGAAATTGGGTATTGAGTGAAGGAAGAAACGTATAAGAGCTCTATAATTGTTCGAAAATTACTATATATATGGTGCTAATTATAGATCACTGTTGGCGTCTAGGATGGATAAAGGAAGATAGCTTTGGTTATGTGTACTAAATGTCACGTTATTTGGTATTTGGTGAAGGGAGAGGGCTGAAATCCTGAAAGAGCTGAAATACTTTGAATAAAGAAATTGTTATCGTGGATTTTTCCGAAAATAATTTTTTGACATTATGGGATTTTTTTTAAAATAATTTTTTAGGCAATAATGGCAATCGTTGGTACCATAAAAAGTGTTCACCATACCCAAGGTTTCTATGAGGTCGGCAGATTTTAACAAAATTTTGAAAATAAACTTAGTAGTCTTCTCACAATTGCGATTTGATTCTGATTGTATTTCAAATCAAAATTGTATATTTTGATAACAAATTTCTTTGTCTGATGGGTTACTGATCGATTTTATATAGGCCATGATCACACCTTCAATATAGCAAACCAAAATATATTAAATTAATTCTAAATGTTCTTTTATTCTCTTTCTTGCAGCCCCTTGGATCGCGAGCGTCAACATGTCTACAACTTCATGGTGGTGGCAACAGATGGTGGTCGCTATGATTCTCGCTCTGCCCGTGTGCCTGTACAAATCTCCATTGACGATGTGAATGACAATAAACCCCTCTTCGAACGTTATCCCTTTCGGGCCCAAGTGCCAGCCCTCATACAACCCGGCCAGACATTGGTACAAGTTATGGCCACCGACAAAGATTTGGGTTTAAATGGTGAGGTTATCTATTCTCTCAAGGAGCAAGATGACCCATCGACAAGGGGGAAATTTCGCATTAACCCAAATACAGGGGTGGTGAGTGCCACCCAAAGTTTGGCCAGCGAATCGGGTCGCCTGCTGCATTTGGAGGTGGTGGCCCACGATAAGGGCCAGCCATCACTGCAGACGGAGGGTTTGATTGAATTGCTGATTGGAGAATTGCCACAAGGTTCAAGTTCGTTGCGTTTTCAAAACGATACCTATCGGGTGAAGTTGAAGGAAAATTCCGAGGAGGGTTTAAAGGTACTGCAGGTCACCGCCTTGAGATCGGATGGCAGAAGGGCCAAACTGGTGTATTCCTTTGGTACGGGTAATGAAAATCAGGCATTTAGCATTGACCCGGTAACGGGGGAAATTAAGGTGGCCAACAGTGGGGAGCTGGATTATGAACGCTATGCTGGCACAATGGAGGAACAAATGCAAAATAATCAAAAATATTTTCAAAATTATCGAGGCCGTTCGTTGGCCTATGAAGAGGGTGGAGAGAATGGCACCAGTTTTTTGGTTATGGAGGGAGATGATGTTGATGATTTGTCGGCGAACTTTCGCAATAATCGGGCGCTGCGTAGACGTGAAATGGATGAGCTCCCCGTATTGCTGGCCTCCTCAATACAGCCGCATGAACTGCGCCTTATGCTGGTGACCCAAAGTGAATCGCACAGCGGTGCCATGCCATTGTATGCCTACGCCGAACTGATTGTGGAGCTGGAAGATGTCAACGATAATAGTCCGGTGTTTACACAGACCCAGTATGCGGCCACCGTGTGGGAGGGCAACAACAAGGGCACGTTTGTGGTGCAGGTCTCTGCTTTCGACCAGGACACGGGCCCCAATTCGCGCATACTCTATCACATCGTCGATGGCAATCATGATAATGCATTTGTCATTGAGCCGGCCTTTAGCGGCATTGTTAAGACGAACATAGTGTTGGATCGTGAAATTCGTGACATGTACAAGCTCAAAGTGATCGCCACCGATGAGGGGGTGCCACAGATGACAGGCACAGCAACGATACGTGTCCATATTGTAGATGTGAATGATAATCAGCCGACGTTTCCACCGCACAGTGTGATCAATGTTGGTGAAGGTAAGTCGGGGAGAAGAGAAGAAGATGAGGATGATGGTTAACAAAGCAGGCAAGCCATGTTAAAGCTGTTGGGAAATGATCTAGAAAAACTAGTTCTGAGTGAGTTTTTCCATTCTATTCCTGGCCATCTTGCAGAGGCTGATGATGAGTGTTGTTCTTGTTTGGCCTGCTGCTGGCTGGCTGCCTGGCTGGCTTGCTTGCTTTGGAAAACAGTTGGCTTGAGGAATTTTGATTTGTTGGTGTTTGCCTGAGCTGGTGAGTGGCAGCAGAGCTCTAGAGGCCACCACACAACACCACACTTTGACAAGTTATTAAATTTATACTGAAGTGCTTTAAATTCCAAAACTTTTTTAATTAATCCTCAGAGATTTGAGGCAGTGTAAAGAAGACGAACTTACTCCCGTTTTGTTATCTGACAGAGATTTTTTCTTTTTTACCTTTCTCCACTTAATAGGCACTGAATTAGGATCTGTGATTACCACCATCTCGGCCAATGATGTGGACACCTATCCGGCCTTAACCTATCGCTTTAGCATGGAATTGCCCGATCAACAGCAGCAGCACAGTCACAACCACCACCACCACTATTCCCACCACCAGCTTCTTGCCACAGATGACGATTTGTTATCGTCCGACATTAAGTCCATATTTGCCATAGATCGTTACAGCGGCAAAGTTGTCTTGAAACGTCACTTGGACTATGAACAGCAGCAGGAATACCAATTGGAAATAATTGCATCGGATGCGGCCCATGAGGCACGTTGTACGCTGACCGTACGTGTGGGAGATGAAAATGATAATGCTCCGGTTTTCGAAGAGCCAGCCTATTTTGCCATGCTGCCCGAAGTGTCGGCGAGTGCAGCTTCGCTGACCTCAGATATTGAGCTGTTGCGTGTCAATGCCACCGACCTGGATTCGCCGGAGAGTGATAATGCCAAAATCCTCTACAGCATCGAGCCAATTGTCAAGGGTTTCAGTGTCAATGAGCAGACGGGGGCGGTGTATGTCAACATCAGTCGTTTGGCAGGGCCAGAGATGGAGGGCCTGCAAGAGGATTTGTTTGTAAACATTGTGGCCATGGACAAGGGTAAGCCACCCATGAAATCTTCCACCACCCTTAGGGTCCAGGTCCAAGGTCATAATGCGGCCAGGGCCCAGTTTCTGCAAAGCCACTATCGGGCCCACATTAATGAACAAGCTTCCTTGGGTACTGTGGTCCTGAAACTCAGCCAGGATATTTTGGATGCCAACACTGATTTCAGTGATTCCAATCTCATGTTCACCATTGTGTCGGGCAATGAGGAGGGGAGATTTCGTGTCTTCCAATCGCAGGCCATAATTCTGGTGAAACCCTTGGATCGAGAACAAATGGATTTGTATAAACTACGGCTGGTCATCAGTGATCCCTCGGCCTCGCCGCAGCAGTTGGCCTCCCAGGCTGCCGAGAACTCCACCTCGGCCATCAATGTTTTTGTATCCGTCGACGACTTCAATGACAATGCTCCACAATTTGTGAACTCTACACGTTATGAGGCGGAGGTCAGTGAATTGGCCCCCTTGCGTTATTCCATTGCCCAACTGCAGGCCATAGATATGGATGCCGACAATACACCCAACTCGGAGGTGGTCTATGAAATCATGTCCGGCAATGATGAGGGTATGTTCACCATTGACCTGGTGACAGGAGTACTCTTCGTTAACAACAAGCTAGACTACGATACTGGTTCCATGTGTTATGAACTGATTATACGGGCCTGTGATAGTGCCCTAGGGCATCCCCTGTGTTCCCTGCGAGCATTTCGCCTGACTCTCAAGGATGAGAATGACAATGCGCCCATGTTTCCCGTGACGGAATTCATTGAATTTGTAGCCGAAAATGAGCCGGTGGGCACGAGTGTGTTTCGGGCCCATGCCACAGATTTGGATCGGGGTACATATGGCCTCCTGAACTACAGCATAGAACATGAGGCCGTGGGTTCGGATGATGTGGCCTGGAAACTGTTTCGTGTGGATGCCGAATCCGGTGTGGTCACCACAAACTCCGTTTTCGATTTTGAGCAACGCAGCCGGTTTGATTTCATCCTAAGGGCCATGGATACAGGAGGCAAATCGTCCAAGGTAAAGGTACGCATACAAATCGACTCGCGTGATGAATATGCTCCTCAATTTACCGAACGTACCTATCGATTTGTCATGCCCTCACCCTCGAGTGGTTATTTACCATTGGGTTATGTTGTGGGCCAGGTCTCGGCCACCGATCGTGATAAGGGGCCAGATGGTAGAGTGGTATATCAACTGAGTTCCCAGCATGCCTATTTCAAAGTGAATCGCACCACCGGAGCTGTGGTCCTGAAGAAGAAGTTGGATGATAATTTTGATGATGGCCGGGACATTAGCTTGGTTATCTCGGCCAGTTCGGGGCGTCAGGGTTCCCTTACCAATATGACAGTGGTGGAGATTTCATTGGATCCTTTGGCGGATATTAACACCAATTTGGCCAGCAGTGCAGGGGGCATTGCCTCATCTGGAGGAGGTATTGCCGACTGGGTGCTGGGTCTAATAATTGCAGTTTTGCTCATTCTCTGTGCCGTGGCTGGCATCTTCCTCTTTATACGCATGCGTAGTCGTAAACCCAGGAATGTGGTAAAGCCTCATCTGAATACCGAACCCGTGGGGAATTCCAATAGCTATGTGGACCCCAGTGCCTTTGATACCATACCCATACGGGCCTCCGGCCTAAATGCCATTAACAGTGGCAACAATAATCCCAGCACATCGGGAGCCATGGCCTCGGCCCAATTTGCCCCACCCAAATACGATGAAATTCCTCCCTATGGCAATCATGCGGGGAGTTCTAACTCCGGAGCAGCAACCACCTCAGAGCTGTCGGGATCCGAGCAGTCAGGTTCAAGTGGACGTGGATCTGCCGAGGATGATGGTGAGGATGAAGAAATACGCATGATCAACGAGGGCAACCTAAGGGCTGGGGCAGCGGGAGAGGACGGACGTCTCTCAGATATCTCCGTGCAAAATACCCAAGAATATCTGGCCCGTTTGGGTATTGTGGATCGTGACAATGATCCAACGGGAGTGGCATCGAGTACCAGTATGGCAGGCTCCAACAAGGAGGCCCACATTCATCATCCCCTGCCCATGGTCGATTCGCTGCACATGTATTCCGAGGATCCGAACAATGAGGCGGACATAACCAATTTAATCTATGCCAAATTAAATGATGTCAATGGTGCTGCCTCGGATCGGGCCAGCAGCAATGATGAGGCTGCGGCGGCGGCAAATATGGCGCCTAATGTCAATCATGTCATGGCTTATGGCAATCATCCGGGGGTGAATCCTGCCAATGTGGGCCCCTCTATGACAGGGTCCCTAAGCTCCATTGTACACAGCGAAGAGGAGTTGAAGGGTAGCTACAACTGGGATTATCTACTCGATTGGGGACCCCAGTATCAACCCCTTGCCCACGTGTTCTCCGAAATTGCCCGCCTTAAAGATGACAATGTCTCGGTGAATAGTGGCCAAAGTGGTGGCTCGTCGAGCAATAAAAGTAAACAAAGTCTGGCGCATTCCATTGCCAGTGTGGTCAAGACACGAATACCACCGCCCATGTTGACAAATGTTGCTCCACGGGCGATAAATTTACAGGTCCTTTCCGGTTCCGGGGTAAATATGCGCATGCCTCCCGGTAATAATCCTCATCACATGAGTGGGACAGCCACAACCCATTTAGGTTCCACACCACAATATATGCTACCCCGCTCACCCATTAATCATGAAACAGCTGGAGGTTTCTCAACCTCAACGGCAATGTCACCTTCATTTTCACCCTCATTATCACCCCTGGCGACAAGGTCACCATCCATATCACCCTTGGGGGGACATCATATGGTCAATATGCCAGCGAGACATCAACCTCAACCACAGCAGCGGAGTAAAAATATGGTCGAACAGATACGAATGTAGGCATAAAAAGGAAGAAGAGGAAGAAGGAGAAGAAGAAAGAAATGACAAAGACAAAAGATGAAGAAGAACATTAAAAGTGATTTAGTATTACTAAGGTTAGTATATAATAAAATAAAAAAGAGAAAACAATACTACCACAACACTCACATACATACTTATACACACCTACATAAATACATATACATTGAGATCATTGCAATGTCAAACATATTTATCCATTCAACACTTAAGAGTGAGGTGAGTCAGAGAAAAAAAAACTAGTGGATTTTTGAATACAACTCACCCCTCTTGGCTGTGGTAAGAAAACACACGTTCACATTTACATACACCCGCACACACACATGTAAGGTATACACATTGTAAATATTCTTAGCATAAATAGGTTAGTTATTATTTTATTTAGGTCATATGTATGTAACCAATGAAAACTAAATGCCATTGTTTTAAGTTAGAAATTATACACGTGACATTGCATGTGAAGTGAAATCGACAAAATATACTGGGCAACAGAAAAGTTTTGAAAAAATATTTTTTGTTTCAAATTTCCGAAAAATCAATTTTCTGGAAAAACTAATTTTTATAAAAAATATAAGGTCTTTAAAATTTAAAATACACAGTGAACTTATATTAGGTAGTGTGAAAACCTTTAAAATGGGAAGAGAGAGAGGGAGAATAATTGCGGAAAAATCAGAGAGAGTAGTAAAAAGGTCCCAATAGTCTTATATTTCATGCAATGTTAATGGGTTCCGTTGTTAAAATTTGCGGTAGTATTATTTTTATTAAAATTGAAATAAAAATTTTTATATCTTGTCATTTTTTTAATTTGCAATAGAAAAGGGCTTGCTTGAGAGGCCTCTAGCACATAAAATATTAAAGGGTTCTGCTGTCAAAATGTATGTAATTTTTATTTCTTAATAATTTTTATTTCTTAATCTCAACCAAAATTTTGTGAAAGTAAATTTAAAAAAAATAGGAATTTCTTACAGGACATCCATTGAATTTAAGATCATTATGGGTCTTGCTTTGAAATTAGGCTTCCAAAAATTGTTTCTTCATTTCTGTTGCCTAGTGTATTTGTTTGTAACAAATCACCACAAAATACTCAGTAATTCAGATAATACACATATATACTACACACCTTCACTCTCTTAGAACATAAACATATTTATACACTCAAGACAAAAAAAAAATAACTCTGTTACCATAACTTGCCAACTTAGAAAATAGTTATTAATATTGTAAATATATGAAAAATATAAAACACAACAACAACACAAGTCTACAATATTTTAAAATTAAGCGGAATTCACTCTAGCTTTCGAACAAAATGAAGTAGGTTGAGAAAATTTTGCTCAGATATATTTTAGGTCTGCAGGACTTTTGGTATTGAAAATATTATTAAAACAAGTAAGCAAAGGCTATAGTCGTGCGGGGCCGACCATATGATACCCTACAACACTACAATATGTTCGAAGTCTCCTTATATCCAAATCCATTTTGTTCTATAGTTTAATATAATCCAATAGTCATCTAAAACTTCTTCCCCGTCCCTAACCCTCTTCTGATGCGAAATACCGTGTTGATTAGTTGTCAATTGTGGCCTATAAACCGACTACAAAATTAGAAAAATTTATATTTTTTCGTCCATTTGAACTTCTAAATGTACATCTTAAGAGCAATAGGCTTTAATTCTGCTCCTAACGCTACCCCATCCAATTTCGTGACCATAATTGCGACATGCATATAATACCCTCAAAGCGTAGTGTTGAGGAGCGTAAAAATTTACAAAATTTTCAATTCAAAATTGTAAATCAAATTAAAAAAATCGCATGCGATAAAAAATTATGACAAACATTGAAAAAAAATGGAACAAAAAATATTCACACATTTATTGGTTTATTTTTCCTCGATTTTCTTAGATTTTATCCTTTTCTGACCAGAGACCATCCCGAATTGAGGGGAATTGTGAAAATTGGCCCAGCGGTTCTTGACTTATGAGCAGAATATATAAGATCTATTTCTTTTACATATATACTGTACCTATTCTTCTATATATCCGATTTCTTGGCTATTAGCATCACTGTAATGGTTAGAAGTGATCTTTTGATGTATTTGTGATTTGGCTGGGATTGAAAATATTAGCGGTTTAGTGGACATTTTGCTATTTTCTTTCATAAAAGTTAGGGTCTATTTTACCCGCTAAATATTGTCTGATAGCCGAATTAGTAGGCTTTTGTCCAGTCCTAAACTCTAACTCCATGTAAATTTACGCGTCGATTGGTCCATAATTGTGGCCTATAGAGCATATGCAAAATCAGGATTTTTTTAATTTTTTGGTCCATTTCAACCCCTAAATGTTATGCAATCATCTCCAAAAGCAATAGGGTTCTATTCTGACCATAGCCCGACTTCCATTTCAAATTTCGTGAGGATCGGACCATAATTGCGACCTGTAGAGTGATTACAAATTAACATGGACAGACGGACGGACGGACATACATAGCTAGATCGACTCAACTCGGCGAGATAGGAAGATCCATATATACTTTTCTATGTGGGAAACCAATATTTCGAGGTGTTACATAATTTTTGGCCCAATCAAACTTATAATACCCCCAACACATAGTGTTGTAGGGTATAAATATAGGTCCACATTTTGGCATAGCCCCCATATAACTATACCTGCCAGATTTATGGTTTTTGGCTTGTTTTAGTTACACTTTCAGACGAAATTTGTTGCAATTTAGGAGTGTGTGCTCCCAACGTATGGGAAACGTCCTTGCATATAGGCCTAAGTTTTGAATAGACCCCATAAAATTGGATCTCCCAATATTCGGCATTTTGACGTTTTAAGCTACAATTTTCAACGGAATTATATCAAACTTCGTAATAGACAACACCTTCTCTGGTAGATAATTGGCTGTAGACGTACACGGTTTTGTATAGGCCCAATATAACTGTGCCTCAAGATATTCGGTATTTTGATGAATATCGGTACCTTTCACCAGAATTTTTCAAATTTTGTATTTGGAGTTTATAACCTCCTATGACAGAAAACTGTCTAATAAGAACCATATCTTCATCTAGCTCCCATAAAACTGTACATCTTTATGTTCAGTATTTTGACGATTTTAGTCACACTCTACACCAGAATTAGTTCAAATTCTGAATTTGTAGTTTGCAGTGGTTAATGTTTCCTATGAGGAAAATTACCAACACAAGTTCATGTCTACGTGAAGCACAACATAACTATACCTCCCTATGAATAAGGCATTCTCAATGGTGGAGGGTATTAAATGTTCAGCTCTACCAAAACATGTCTGTTTTTTGCTTGTTTTACAATTAAACAATTCCGAGCGTATCGATCGGTTTACCAACAGATATCTATATGTTCAGCATATGTTTCGACCTAAGTGAATTTTGTTAGGAAATCTTTGAGTTTTCTGTAAGGGAGGCACCGGAAAAAATTTGACCGTATATCCCATTTGGACACCAGATCTTCTGTTGACAGACTTGTTCCTTAAAATCATGACCTATTGCGGGGCCAAAAGAATCGGGCTGAATTTTGACATTAATTTTGATTTAAATATTATGATTAGTAGAGCTTCCCATAACAAATAAACGTTTATGTTCGGAATTTTTGTGAAGAAGATCATACCAACTATGAATCTTTTTAGAATACGTTTTATAGCTTTAGAGCAGTTAGAATTTGGTATCAGAGGGTAATAATATTTGGAGGTATATCCAACTCTGAATCGATTTCCCCCAAATTTGGTTTCCGTACCAAATAGCATCCCTATAGAGTGCATGATATGACTTCGAGAAGGATTATAAAAAAAATATATCGAAGCAATATATATATGTGAATCGGGTCTTACAATTTACTTCCAGGATAAACTCGTTAGACTAATATTACAAATTTGTTGCACAATACAATCGATATAATTTGGCAGATGTATGAGCTGTATCTGATATCTGTTACCATATAATATTTTTGTAGAGTACATACTAGGAATGTGAAAGATTTAAACACCAAATCGAATAAAATATATTAACCGATTATTAACCGATTTTCAAGAAATTTGAACTACTTGCTTCTAGACTAACGTCAATCGTATGTGCCACAATTCCTTCCATTTGGGTTGATATTAACCATATGGAACACAGAAAACGTGAAATCGGATCAAGATATATGTGGGCGATATATCCAAATTTGAACCGATGTCGATAAAATTATAATTTAAAATTAAAATTAATTATATATTGTGTTATCTGGTACCAACTATTATCGTTTTAGGGTGCATATTGCGAATTTGAAAGTCGTTAAGACTAAATCGAATGAATCTTATATATGGGAGCTATAGCTACATCTGAACCTATTTTTACCCAATTTGTAGTACTTTCTTCTAAGCTGAATTCGGTCGGATATGCAGAAATATTTCCTATTTGGACGAACATTATACACAATCAATGCGAAAAAAATTTAAATCGGACGAAGATATATATGGTATGGTACTACATCTAAAATTGGACCGATTATCACCAATTTCAACTGGATTCGTTCTTGGGTCAAAAATTATTTGTGAAAAATATCATCTTAATCGGACAATAAATGTCAATATCTACTCCTGGAAATTTCAAAACGATAATATTTGAAATTAATATTAAAACCTTGAAAGAACCAAAAATCTGGAACCTAGGCCCCGAAATTCTTAATATTCTGAAATTTGTAGTACGTTTTGCATGAAAAATTTGGTATTTACCAGTAGAGCTCCTCAAAATTGTTTTGAATGGTATTTCTCGAGAAAAGGAAAGTCGCCAATATTTAAGAATTTATGACCAAATATAACGGTTTTGAATAATTTTTGGACCATTAATAGCTAAAACACCGTTTTAAGGGCAAAAACACATTGAAGACTCTGCAAGGCGATATATAAACATAACAACTCTATTAGATATATTTTAGATATGTATCGCCAACGAAGGGTAGAATATAACTA